ATGACTGGGCCTCCGCCTCGGCCTTCTGCACCTCCAGCTGTCGCTTCTGTTCGTCCACTTTGGCGGTCAACTGTTCCAGTAGTCGGCGCTGGAGTTCAATGTTGGAGGAGCCGGCGATGGCGTTCAGCACCGACGTTGTCATCTCCACCGGATTCGACGACTTCGCGATCTGCTCCATGAGCTCCGGGATCGACGGCTGCTGTCCGTCCAATGAGTTCGTGGTTGTGGTCGTTGTGGTGGTCGACGTCAGGTCGGCCTCTTCGGGATCGTAGGGCTCGTCGTCGTCGTCGACGACAACCGTCTTAGAGGTCGTGGACATCGACGCCCCGGACGACGAGGTGGTCGCTCGCGGCGGTGTATACGACACGTCCTCATCGGCGTCCTTACTATCGCCGGGCGACGAGTCGTTCGATGAGGTCTTTGGCGGCGGTGTATACGAGCGGAACGCGGCGTCCGACCCACTCCTCGACGCCTTCGTCAGCGACTGATTGCCGGCTGAGTTTTGTGGCGCTTGTGTCCCGTGTTTTTTGCTGCGAATTATTATACCTAACAATAGGTTCGGACGAATCGACTTCTTATCCAATCCTTTGCCACCAAAACAAAGACATCAAAATCAGTACAAAATTATCTCAAAAATCAATTGCATCTCAAATACCGGGCCCTTCGAAGGGTAGCAACACTTCCGGCACGTCCTTATTCCTCGGCAGTGGCAGTATATAGAAGTCCTTAAGATTACCGCTGCCGCCGACCACTCCGTACCGGCCCCTGGAGTTCAAGTAGTCGAAGAAGGCGTCGTAGCCGATGCGGTCCTCCTTGCGGGACATGAACTTCACTAAACCAATCTCCGAACGGGAACTGTACTTCAGTTTCTTCACGTAATCCAACACCTGTTCCGGCGCTATGCGACCGCACACGGAGATCGTGTCCGTCACGTCCTGAACGCACAAAACAAACACAAAAAAATAAATTCATAAATAGAGAAAAACTGTGGGGAAAGGGGAAGGTATGTGTAGATATACAGTAAGTGTGGGGAAAGGCATTCAGCAGCGGGAAAGGGATACTAACTATTCGTCGCGAAAATCAATACAATTACAAAAATACAACAAAAACTCGACTCAAACCTGAGATAAATAGTCGACTGCCGTTCCGCTCACTTTGACGGCGTTGGCGGCGAACTTCGCCACGTCCTGCATGAATATACTGCCCTTCCATACGGGCCGGGATGCCGACGAACTACTGGGCGCCTCGGGTGAGGACAGAGACACTGTGGACGTCGGCTGTTCGTGACTATCGTCGTCATCAGCACTGGTCGCCCGTTTGAGTGGCGGCGCCGTCGACGACGTGAGTTTGGCCGCCTCGAGCAGCACCCGAGTGGCCGACTCGGAGTCCACGCGAACGCGTTTAGGTGTGGGCCGGGAGGTAACGGTAGTTTCGTCGCCGCCCCTCGCGTTGGACGTGAAGTTCGACGACTTGGCGTCCGACTTGAGTGAGTCGTCCGTTTGCTTATGCGTACAAATGCGACAGTTGTTGGAGAAGGTGTGGGTGCGGTGTTGGGCTGTCGTGTCGACGCTCGATGTGCCCATCAGGTCGTCCAGTAGTGATGACACGCCCGACGCGGGCGTTGCGGTGGGTGTTAGCGCTTTCAAGTCGTCTATACATCCAAAAGCAAATAACAATTAAAATACAAACAGATTGGGAGTAATGAAAGTCTATGTCAACAGTTTGTACATAATTCCCTCAATGGGAAGGGGAATGGGAGCTATAGTGGTACAGTCTATTCAGTATCTTATAGGGAAAGGGATTAAAAGTGGATATAAAACTGTAAAGTGTATACAATATCTCAGGGGAAAGGAGATAATAAGTGGCGTATAAGTGTATACACCATCACATGGGAATGGTATGCAAAGGTGGCACACAATTACCTAATTTGGGATCATTGGTGGTGTCGGACACGATGTTGGACTCGATGAGCTCCTCTCCCTTATGGGTCTTCTTAACGATCACTTGATTCACTTTATCGGCGGCATCTCTCTTAATCATCTCCAACATCGATATCTTCTCCCTTTCCCTCCACTTCGCCAACTCAGAGGACGCCAACTCCTCGGCCGACATCTGGACGAGCCTTTCGGGGCCTATCTTTGCGTTGACTACTTTGCGAAACAATCCCTGATTTTTCGTGTCCTTCAGATTGAATATAAGGGACCGGTATTTGTTGCGGTACTTCCCGGACGTGTCTTTGTTGAACAGCTTAAACAACTCCTCTTCGATACGATTAGCCGTCTTCTGGATCTCATTCGAGTTGACATGTGTTTCATTGGCTTCTTTGCATCTGAAGACATCACATCCAATAACAAACACAAAATACAAACAAACAATTGGTTTAAAAAACGCAAACAAATTAAATGAGAAAAAATTATATTCATAATTCATTTCATATGAAAACTATGCCGAGAATTTGGGTCTAATTATTAGGTAACAACTCGTAAACTCAATGCAAACTTAAAAGTCAACTAAAAAATCACTATTAAAAACGTCTATTAAAATAAAGTCAAACAAAAAATAATTTAATTAAACGAAAATTAAATTCAAACAAAAATCAAATCAAAACCAAAAATCAATAGAAAAAACCCGAAATAACATATTTTAATTGTGTGACCAAAACGTAACCAAAAATACAAACAAAATACCTGTTAATGAGTGTATCCTTGAGTGTCGTGCGGACGTTGGCTCGGATGGGATCCATGCCCTCGAAGTCTCCGCCACTCCTACTATTGCTACGACTAATGGGTGTCCTATTCCTGTCCTCCCTTTTGGTCGGACTCTTTTGCGGCGACGGAAAGGCGTTCTTAGCCGCCGGCGAGTCCTCCCGTTTCTTATCCTTCAGCGACGCGGGTCTAAACACTTCGTACGTCGGGTTCGCCTTAATATAGTCCAACACTTCACGCTCGGGAATGGCGTCCTTTCCAGACAGTAGCCGTCCCGTCGCCTTCTCCACCACCACAACCCTGCGGTCGATGTCTTTGAGTTTAGTGCCCGACTCCGAGCGCTCCCTCCTATGGATTCGCAACAGTTTCACCATATCGTTCACATGCGTCACAATACACTCGGTATTGCAGTAAATGTTGGCGCTGTTCACGACAGTCCTCCCGCAGCCCGCGGGGCACTGGCGCTCAGCCGAGGCCGAGGTAGACGTACGGCGCGAGTCAACTGACCCTTTCCTACTGAATGGCGGCCCAGCGCCGGGAGTGCCGGGCGTCGTGGGTGTGGGCGGTGTGGCGGTCGACGTCTTCTTAATCGGTTCCGCTTTGAACAAGTCCTGCACCGAGAAGTCGATGGCGTCCTTATGCTTCTTCTTGGCCTCGGGTTTGCGTACGATTTGCACCACTTTCGAGATGGACTCCAACTCCGGGCCCGCGTTTGCCGCGTCGCTCTTACGCCGACCCCCGCCCTCATCGGCGCCTCCTTTCGGCGACTTCTTGGCCATGAGTTCGCGCTTTTTGTTGAGATCTTTTTTCGACGATTTAATCAATTTCTTGAGTTTCTCCGACTCTTCCGTCTCTAACCGCAGATGGAGTTCCCGTTTCTTTGGCGGCATTTGCGATATCTTACGCGCCAATAGAGCCGCCGCTGCCGCACCGGTAGGCTGTCCGCCAGTAGGCGTCTGTTTCGGCGACTTATCGGTCGACTGTTGTCTTTGTGCGCTTTTCTTAGGCCCGGGGTCCGAGTCCCGGCGCTCAGTGGACCGCTGTTTGGCGTTTTGCGCCATTTTCTCGCGCTTCAGGAACTTCTCTCTCGCCATACGTTTGGTCTGAGCCCTGACCCGCTCCTCGGCCTCCAGTTTCTGGCGCTTTTGGTCCGCCACTCTCTTGAGCTCATCTCTAGGGACACCATCGCTGATACCCTTCACACACGTCGGACACAACCACTCCTTTCCCTCCTTTTCCATAATACGGCCTTTAAATCGCAAAAACACATCAAAATTAATACAAAAATCACTCAAAAAATGAGTTTCTAACACAAAATCTAATGGATATAATCAGTGGATTAAGCGGTGGTAAAGCTGTTTATCATCCTTTACAATGACATACAGATAGCAAATACTTAATTCATCACAAACTATGTCTAAAACAATGTGTAAAATGTCTTTTAAACAAAAAATCGGTACAAACCCTGCTGTTTAGTGACGTTAACGCACTTTCCATGGAACCATTCCTCGCAGGAGTCGCACCCAATCATAAACCGGTCGTCGTGTGGCTGACGGCATAAACACCTTAAATAATAAACAAAACACATGCAAAATATTAGCCAAACATTTATTTAAACCAAAAATCAAATCAACACAATGTAAACAAATGAGTAAATTAAACGGTGGTATATCAACAGCTTATGTATACAGATAGGAAATACTAATTCATCGCAAAAAGTGGACACAAAAATGTGTTACAAATGTCGGCTACGAGTAGACACTGACCACAACTTGTCCGGATCGTCTTCAGATCCAAAATCAGATCCACTCTCGTCGTCGTCGTCGTTATCGTCATTAACCGATGTCTGCGAGTCATTCATCTAATCCATGGCAACAAACAGACAAAACCATCAGAACATGGGCCCAATTATCAGTCAATAATGGCTCAAACCTTCGGGCGTTTGCCGTCAAACGACTCGTCATTCGCGGGCTTCTCGCCAAACGGTCTTTTCGTGGCGTTTGCGTCCAAACTCTTATCCATAACCTCTTCGCTATCGTCGGGTCGCGACTTCATCTGATCCTCAGCCAGAATACCCAACTGTCCGCTAAAGTCCACTTCTACTTCGTCGTCATCCCATCGCTTCGGCTTACGTCTAGTGCGCTGTTGTCTCGCGGATCCCGGCGTCGACCTGTCATCGCCTGTCAACGACTCCCTCTCATTGGCTGCCTCTTCATCACCGGCTCTTAACGCCGCGATCACGTCGTCCAACTCCGACGTCTCGGCCACCGGTGCCTTAGAGTCCGCGCTACTCGACGTCGATATGTCTGGCGTTGTTGACGGCACCGGTAGCTGTTTTGCACTGTTATTACTATCACTACTCCTACGTGAGTCCCCTTTGCTATCCATTCGACACTTTTTATTAGTAGTCGACTCTAAACGCCAGAAACACATTCACACAAAACAAATACAGCCAATGATTTAATGGGGAATATATTATCATTAAAAAGTCAAATACTGTGTATTCATACAAAAAAACTACAAATAATGTTCACATTTAAAACATTACTCGTTATAGTGAACCACGCGTTCATACATATAGCTCACCGCCACTAATGAACAAACAATTATGAATCGACACAAACCGCTCGCAAAATACATATTTACACAAAACAACACTTTCACGTCTACCGTGAAATCATCGTTAAAAACTTCATAAATCAGTTCATTATAGCGAGAGTTCAGTGTATGAATGAGTTTGTATTACCGGTGATATAAAAGCGAAAAAGCAATTTGTATTAATAAAAATGCAAAAAACTTTTTCCCAACTCTCAAAACACATTTCCAATCGCTTTTGAACCACACATACAGTGCACTCATTATCTCAACGAAACATTTACAATACACTCGCTTATCATTGAGTGAAAACTGTTTGTTCAATCGTAAGCCTATTATTGTTATTATGATTACTGCAAATATAGTGACAATTTTAACACTCAAACTAGTGGTGACTAAAACCTCAAACACAGTGTCTATTATTAAACGTCAAAATGAAATCTCAATCTCGAAATTACACACAATTTATGCCGTAATCTAATCGCCCGCTTATCGCTGAGACTATTAATACAACAAATATTTGCTATAAATAAGCGAAAGTGTATTAATGTATCGAAAAAGCACTTTTAAATTGCTTTTTAAACGCTTAATATGTTTTTATTTTTCACAGCAAATACACAGTATTTTAATTGAAAAACACATACCATTTGTGTGCGATTTTTGGCGTTTGGCGCTACGTTTGCCGCTATTATTGCTAATTGTCTTATCCTTTGACTTCTTGTCGAAATCGATCACCAGTTGGTCCTCATCCACGTCCTTATTATCATCCACTGGTGGCAACGGTTCCGCGTTTGGCCTCAACTTTGGCGACTCCTAAACACAAACAAAACAATCAATTAATTGCGACACAAATCAGCGACAAAGACATCGAGAGGACTTCGGGCATCAAATCAACTCATAACTGATATCCTGAGGTAAAAGACTAACGCATAAAATGAACGCAAAGTATAAATGTAATCAAACATTGCTTTTAATATACAAATTCATAACTCATTTGAAAGTCACGACTAATTAGCTGTGAAATCACTTTATTCATAACAATCTGGGGCTCTGAACGTACGGACAGTTAATCCCAACAACATATGGGAATGGGATCTAATAAACACAAACACATGTGCGATGGCGAAGACCTCATCATATAACTACACAATAAGCTACAAACCATAGACTCCTTTTCCCTTTTCAGCATTTCCTGGTTCTCGGCCTTAATCTTCTCCAACACCGACTTCTCGATGCGATCGATCTGTCTCTGAGAGCGCCGGGAGGCCGGCGGCGTTCGAGGGGACGAGCACTTGGGGGTGGCGTTGGACGCCGTGGACACCGGCGAGTCGGGCACTCGTGTGGGCGACGGCGATGTGGCCGTCAGTGTCGACGACGAGGCGTACGAGTTGTCGTTGAATGACGTCAATTGCGATGAGTTTTGGGCGCCGACGGCACCGGTAGCCGTCGATAACGGAGGAACGGTATTGACGGCACCGGCAGTCGTCTTATCACTCACTACTTTCGCGAACGTCTGTTTGTGTGGCGACTGTTTGCCCGCCGGCGCCGTCGTTGTACCACCGGTGGGGTCGTGAGGGGCACCGGTAGTCACCAAATAGTCGTACGAATGACAGTAGTTATGGTCCATAAGCACCACATCGAAGGTGTGGGCGCTATGAGCGCCGGTAGTGCGCGGGGGCGGCGATGAGTCGAGTGTCGGGAAATCGCCGGGCGATACCGTCGCGCGGCTACCGGTGCTGTGGTTCTGGGCGTTGAGGTTCTGGACGAGATGGTCGAGCGCGTCCACCAGATCCAGGCCCTCCTGAACGGTGGGCGCCGAGTGTGGGCCCAACTGTCCGGCGCCTGGCGTACCGGCGCCGTCGAAGTCGAGGTCAAAGTGGGGCGCGTCCGACGACAACATCTTTTTGACCGAATCAGTGATCAGCGCGTCGTCGATGGCGTACTCATCGGTGGCCGGCGTTGAGGACCTGTTGGCGGTGATGGCGCCCGAAGAGGTATTGGTGTCCATAAGCGGTGCGGCGATCGGTGGCGATGCCGTCGATGACCACAAAGACATTCACAGGTGACGGACACAGTGATGGGTGTGTTGTATGAGTGGATGACACGAACTCGTGGCTGATCCGGAGGAATGTCTGGTACGGTATGAATGGGTTAATTAAACACACATTTTAATTAAGCGTTTGTGAGACACGTTTGCCACTCATTGGACGCCATGTTTGGTGGCGTTGAGTGCGTGAGTGGTGGCCGAGACTACGGGATCAGCTATGGGTGACATTTAGCGCGTGACCCTGGTCACGATGGTGGCCGTGATTATGGTTTACTTGCGATCAATTCAATTGTCTTTCAATACCTCAACACAAACACAACATAATGTCCGCCATTTTTGTTATGCTTTTCTCCATACAGTGTTTTATGCGTTAATTAGTGTACGCGAGCTATGAATAAGGTATTTGCGAACCGATAATATCTACCCTTTTATGGTTATTGAGTATACATGAGAGTGTATGGGTATAGTCCGTATTAAATAGGTCTATAATGTGAGTATAAAGTTGTCAGGTTTGTGTGTAGTGGCGTGTATGCGATTGCCATCTACTGGTGCGCGTGTGGTGTGTATAACGAGAGGGAAAGTGTTCACTCGAGCCCATAGTAACTGAACTCGAGTTCGCGCGTAAGGCTCTCATTGAAAATCGATATATTTTGACGTAAAGGGGCTCTAACTTTTGTGCTCGTTTGTTTCGCAGATACACTAGTACGTTTAGGCGGGAGTAGGTGCATTTTTAGCCAACGTATGTGTATTTTTATTGGGTTGGAGTGTTTGAACTATGTTATTTATTTAATAGCTGTCAAACAAAAGTGTCATGCTTAGTTTAAGGCTTTGCGCCAAACTTTTTAATCAATAACTGGATTATCTCAATGGGTAGCCGTTCACAATGTATGTACTGTGTGTAGGGTGTGGGTATGCATTGGCAATAGGCACAAAGGGGCGTGGTAACGTATTTTGTGAATGAGCTGTCATTTGTGTTTTTGTTTTGTTCAATGATTGACAGTTGTATGTCCATAAATAATGTTACGATTAACGCCAATTTTGTCCCCCTTTTGTAATTTTAAAATTTTGATAAAATAGATATTTGTGCATGATAAGTTCAAAATCTTGATAAAATGATAGAATTATCTAGGAAAATTCATTTTTAATCAAATTATAGCTAGTATTTAGGATTTGACTGTACTTTAGATGTATTATTGACTCCCATTTACCATAACGTTGCGTATGAATGGAGAGTGAATTGTGAATGCATTGAACGCTGTGTTTATTATGTGAGTGTTTTGAATGCATTGCATTAAACGTGAGTCTATGAGACAAAAATCGATACAAAAAACGCTATTTTGAATGAAAACTACATTTAAATCTCGTTTGAAAACCATTTGACACCACAATGTAATCAATAGTCTGTAATAAACGCATGATTTTAATACTCATCTGAATCTCAATGATGTTATGCATAGCGAGTGACACGACTGTCAATGGGATTAAAACCGCGATTAAATAAATTGTAAATAACGTGTCAAATATCAATAAAAATGCAATGTTTTGTGTATTAAACTTAATAATTAATTAGCTAGTTAAAAGTATTTTATAACTTATTGTCATAAAACTTTTGTGTGTTTTTAGTAATTTACTGAAAGTTTTGTTTTCTGTGCACTCATTAAGTGATTACAATAATTGTGCGAAAAATTGTGTGTTGCATATAATGAGAGATAATAACAGCTTTTGGATTACATTTAATTGTAAACAATTAGCGATTGGTATGTATTATATGATCAGGGTGATTATGATGGTGTGCTACTCGTTATAGCGAACCAAAGTACTGGTGATAAACCTTACCATCGGTTAAGTCGCTGTTGAAGTAGTGATTAGTTTATCGCAAATGGTTTCTCACCAGAAGTCTAACTATGGTTTAGTAGTGTTTGGTTTGCTATAACGGGTGAATACCCTGGTAATCGTATTGATATTTAATTATTTGTTTTATTTTTCTCATAAAGCAATACATAATTTCAAATACAAGTCACGCGAATGTCTTCAGCTAAGTGTCGGTGAACTCGTGGTTGTGTTACAAGAGTCTAATGGTATGTATGGAGTGGTGGCTATTGCCGAGCAATTGCTGGATCTAATGGATGTGTTTATTGTCTCATTTCATGTGACCATTAATTGGTGGACTAAAGGCTGGTTCAGAGGTTACTCGCAGAGGAATACCTCTAAAATAGGGATATTTCCCTCGAATTACGTACAAATCAAGTCTTTGAAATCGGATAATAATTGGTATAAATTTTTGTGAATTTGTTTTTTGGTTTAGATTTGTATGTGTTTATGGTGTTATGAGTTTGATTGCGAGCACCGGTACGTCGCACTGTGTTTTATGACAAACTTTTTCTCTCATCTGATAATTAAGTTTTAGTTTCAAATCTAAACTTAACTTTCGATCGGAAAAAGTGTTTTTTTTGTCGCAAACTATTGGTGTGAATGCGAAGTGTGTCTTAAAATAATTACTTTTTGTTGTTGTTTTTAATTACTGAATAACTGTACGATTCTTATGACACGTATCCCCCGATCGGTGACACAAATTCACTCATTAACTGATCGCATGTTGTGTTTCAGTGATAACGGATCGCCACTCGAAGATCCCGTGTGTCTGGAAGTGGTGTCGACGGTACGCGAATGGTATACGAAATGGCGGGAACTGTACCTCAAGAGGGATTACGCGCGCTTCGAGTCCATACGCATAGCGATGGTGGAGCTGATGGAGTGGCGGAAGCAGTTGCTCTCGACGGCCACCACTAGCGATATGGCGAAGACCTTGCGGTCGCAGATGGTGTCCAAAATGGATTGGGGTAACGATATGCTGGCCCTGGACTTAGTGCCGCGACTGCCCTCTGGAGAGCCCGTCGACCCGGAGCTGAAGTCACCGCTGGAACTGCTGGACATTCATTTGGCGGCGTACCTGTCGGGCGCCGGGAGTTCGCGCAATAGCAGCGTCTCGTTGACGGGTAGGCCCCATAAGGAGGGAATGGGAGCCAAGAAGAACCACTTTTTACTGCAAATCCGCGAATCCAACTTCAATACCATCGATGACTCGAATCAAATACAAATGGATTTCTCGCTGTTCGACGGCACCGACTATTTGACCGAAAAGTTTTGCTACAAACCTAACGGCAAACTAAATCGAGTGGTTTTCGCGGACTTGTCGTCCAAAACACTGGCCAATGGGACGGGTAGTAGTGGTGTGTCGGCTAATGGTGCCGATGGGCTGCAGCTATGCGTACAGGTGTGGCGTTTCGGCAAAATGTTTGTCAATGAGAGGTCCGGTAAGACGGCTCAGGGCACCGGGCATTTCAAAAGGGCTCTGGCGTTCAATTTGGTGCCCATCGCGGACCTGATTAGGGACTCGGATGTGGCGCTGAAGCTCTATGAGGGAGATATGGCCACCAATTATGACATACTGGTCCGCAAACAGACCAATAAGTTGACGCATTCCCAGAACGCATTCATTACTATTAATAGCAAACTATTGTCCGATGAGTTGCCGCCAAATCTGGTGGAGTCGCCCAATACATGCGTGGCGATGACCAAGAGTTTCGGTGATATCATAAGCGCCGGTCATTTTCGCAATGATCTCTATTTGAGTATAGAGTCCGCGGAGTTTGAAAAAGGAGGTAATTATCACTCATTTTGTTGTTTGATTTGTATTTTGTTTTGTGGTTTTGATAGCAATTGATAGCGAAATAGTGTATAAAACTTGCGGATTAGTCGTCGACTAATAATGAGTGTGAGAATTGAATTGAATTTTTTGATTGTTTAGCGATTTGTTTGGTTTTTGCTGTTTTTCTTTGCCATGACTTTTGAGTTTCAGTTATAGATTTCTAGACAAATATTTTGTACATAAAAACAATGGATGTCTTCAATGAGTGTAAGCGACGTCTGATTCGTGTGATTACAGGCAAAACGATACCGAAGAACATCGAAGTGTCCACATGTCTGGTGACGGCCGAGAATGGCGTGCAGGACAGGGCTATCAGCAGCGGCGCCAACGATGACCGGCACACCTATTACCGGTCGCACGTGTTGTACCACCAGAACAGCCCCAAACTGTGCGAACACATGAAAGTGGACGTCCCTCTGGACCTGTTCGAGGCGGCGCACATCCGGTTCGAGTTCAGGCACTGCTCCTCGAAGGACAGGGAGCGTAAACTACTGGGCTTCGCGTTCCTGCCATTGGCCGACGCGTTGGGCGCCTGTATAGCCGATGGCGACCACGAGCTCTACATCTATAAGTGCGACGACATCCGGAAGCTGGACAACGCCAACGAGTATCTGTTCATCCCGTGGGGTCCCAAAGACTCGCTGAGCCCCGCGACCAGCGGTACGTTCACGCGATCGGCCAAAGAGTGCGCTCACGTGCGGACGTGTTTGGTGTCGTCGAAGTTGACCCAAAACAGCGATCTCTTGTCACTACTTAAATGGCGCGAAAACCCCGACTCCATAGTGGAGGCGCTGAAGCGTGTGATGCGAATACCGGGCGAAGAGTTGGTGAAGTTCTTGGAGGACGTGTTGGACGCGTTGTTCGCGTTGTTTGCCAATAATGACGGCTCGACGACCACTCACTCGGGACTGGTGTTCAAAGTGTTGATACATATCTTCACGACGTTGGCTGAGCCCCGGTTCCGGAGCTACGAGTTGGCGCTCAATGTGTACATCGAGTCCCAGTTCAGCGCAGCGCTGGTACACAAGGGTCTGGTGTCGTGTGTGAAACAATGCGCCGAACTGGTGGCCGAGGCTAACAAACGGGAGGCCATCCTGAAGTGCATGCGAGTGCTCTCGTGGTTAATCAAGTTTATCATTCAGTCGCGCATATTGTATACCAGGGCTACCGGTCATAACGAGGACGGGGATAGTTTCCGGGCCGACATGTTTGCCCTCTACGGGGCACTGAATCGGGTGCTGACCCTCGAGAGCAAAGGTATGTGCGGTTTGTGGGGAATGTGTGTAATTTTGTTGCTAATTGTGGTGTGTTTTGAAGGCTCGACCGATGAGAGCGTTACGTCCATACAAGAGGCGATTCTGGTGTCGATTCCCATAACATTCCCGCAACTGATTAGTGTATTGAATGTCATAAATCTGTCGAAACTGATCAAAGCGATCATCAATTCGGTCTTCGATGGCAACCATAAGATAATTTGCGCCAAACTATTGGTGATCAACGAGACGGTGAAGTGCGCCGACATCTGGAGCGACGACGAGTCGAGGTTCGAGTTGTTGGACACAGTTATCCGGCAACTGGTGCTGCATATCGTGGAAAGGGATGCGTTGCCTATACTGCGGCACATTATCATCGAATTGCGCCAAAATGGCAGCACTCGCGACACGGAGATGCTGTCGATTGGGGCGCTGGACGTAATGGTGGAGCATATCATCGACTTGTCGGAGATCACCGGACAAAACGACTCGGAGTACTTGTCGCAGTTTATCACGTGTTTTATATCACTTCTGGAGCGCATGAGTGAACGCGATTACGTCCAGTTGTTTGAGATCAGGTCCCATCGACAACGCAAAGAACTCTTGTGCCATATATTCGCCGCATTTCACGCCACACTCAACCACTTCCCC